GCTGCAGTACACGGCATAATCAATCTATAGGGGTGCTGGAAATTTGGTCGAATAATGAGCAAGAAACGTCACGATTAAAACCCAGAATTTACCACTCATGACCATTGGTCAATGACTGGTTTCTATATTGTATGGAGTGAACAGTAAAAGATACATATTGCGGTTAATTGGTTGCGTGGAAGTGTTTACTTCTTGAGATAACAAAAACGCGCGCAACGTAACGTAGCGCGCGGGAGCTCCGCTATTAGTAGTAGGAATGTGTACACGGACGTACGTACGTCGTACGGACAGACGCGCCATCGAAAATGAAGTAGATGGGTTACCATTGGTGCTCCGCTATTATAGACTATAATATAACTCTATCTATAGATACGTCCACTCTGATTGTGTTAGCAGCATAGATGTGTTTGGTGATTGCTATGCATGCTGATAAGCACTACGATCAGCATGCTACAGCGATTGTAGCGATATATAGCCATACTGGCTGTTTACACGCTAACACGCTTTAGTATCAATATTATTTGTAGAATTGGCAGTCAGGTACTATAATAATGTCCCTCACCAAACGAAAAGATGAAAATGAGGCTTAATTAAATGTATATGCAGTGGCGTAGCTAGGATTTTTTCAGCGGGGAGGCACTGGGGGGGGGCCTTACATTTTCGTGGGGGGCACAATATATAACTTTTCTTTGTATTATACTGTTCTAACGGCATTGTTTTTAATTCAATTTTTTTTTTATCAAGCATGAATTTTCAGTGAGGAGGCACCTGGGGGGCACAGCAAATTTGTGGGGGACCCCGTAGCTACGCCCCTGAGTATATGGCAAACTCGCGTGGAACAAGTAATATTAGAGACTTCCACACTCCAGTTTGAAGGTTAGTCTGTTGCAAGTTAGCGTTGATTTTTAAAATATTCACATGACTAGATTATCTCGTGCTGTTTTTATTATTCGTGATTATCATATCAGATACTTCGCATAAAATAGCAATATGTTGATAATTCTAAAAACTTTTAGCGCGCTGAACATTAGCATCTCAAAAGTTTGTATACAAGTTTATATAAGTCAACACGCTTGTTCTTTATCGAAGTAAAGCTATATAATGTCTTGTGTTGCACATGAAAAACTGCTAAATTTTTCCAACTGTTTACTCGTTACATATTTTACACTAGATAAAGTAATATGTAGCACGAAAACAAGAATAGGGGCAACACAAGTATAGAAATAGTACGTACATAAAGTAATCCGACACACCGTACTTCTGTCTTGGGTTACGTGTGTCTAAGTTCACACTTGCGATGCAAGCTCGCGGCGATGACAAGAGCTTACTCTAGGATCAACACGCAAACTATAAAGTAAAACAGTGTCGATACGTATTATCAGGAGCTAATAATGATTATGTCATAATTCATGTGAGTCATGTGATAATGTCGTTATTAGCTCCTGGTATTATCAAGAGTAGATAATAACACACTTCAGTTATTATCTACTCTTGGTATTATGTACAAACTTTCGGAGGAGATAAAGCATATTCCGTTGCTTTTTACATAGTAAACCCTAATCATATAAGGCCTGACAATGTAAATGCTCTTAACTTATTCTCGCTTTGTCCGCATCCAGTCAGCTCTGTATATGATCAGCAGATTAGATTAAATATGCAAGGGTAAAAATGTTTTAACTTTTCTCATAGAGACAAAAATACACTGAATGTGTAAAGATCGGGTGCATATATATGCCCTATGCACATTAGGTGCATATGCTATTACTTAGAATAGGTATATATCTAATTGTATGTACCGAACTCTCGTCGGTCTCTGTCTATGACTCTGTAGTTGACTGGTAGCTGGAGCCTGGATCTGTGCGAGACATCGCTTCTCATGAAAACGTACGTTCGCGCGCGCGCGTGTGTGCGTCGTGCGCGTGAGCTCGCTTATCTGTGCGTGCGCGTCCGTGTACTCAATTATAGTAGTATGCCGGTTATAGGCATTACCGTGGTTAACAATGTAGTAGCAAAAGTAGCATTTGCTACGGGCCCCGCGGTTTTAGAGCCTCGTGGTTTAGGGGGCCGTAATGTGTAATATCATGAACGATCTAATAGTTAAATCTTGTTATTATAAAAAAAATAGTATCCTAGTATACACGTAAACTTGATACAATAATGAGTGCTGTCAGAGTTTAGTTATCAGGAAATTTATTACAAATGTATTCGATTTAGATTAAGTTAAATGTGTGTATTTTAATATCTATATGTTATGTAATTTAGGGCCCCTGTATAACATGTGCTACAGGCCCCGCACTAGCCTAATCCGGTCCTGAACTGTACAGGAGCATATTAGTTCATTACGATCGTTTATTTGTTTATTTATTTACTTAGTTGAGTGATTGGGTAAGTGAATGAGTGGCTCGGTCGATGGGTTGTAAGTCAGTCAGTCAGTTGCTTATTAGACAAGTAATAGCTACTTGCTATAAGCAATTTGTAAACAATTTGTCTTTTATAGCCCTTGGGGTCGATTAGATTATGTATTATTGTTATTGTTATTGTAATTATGTATAATTACTACCAACCCTCTTCAAAACACAACTTTTGTGAAGCCTCTACGACTGCCTTATTGTATCTCTTACTCCTCTCGATTGCCTGCTCCGTCACGGACGCGCCTTCTCAGTACAACCACAGCACTGCGCCAATTAACATTTAAGTTCCACTCAGATGCACGATTCCTCGCTCGCAGAATGAGGTCCCTTATACCTATACCCTATACCTGCATTCCCTATTACCTCGCATGTGCTCTCTCGCGACACTGTCAGCGTTATTTAGTACGTCGTGTCGCATATACCCTCTGGTCTAGCTTTCATATAGGTACTACAATACTGCGTTTTGCTCTGCTCTGTGACGATTACTCATTTTATAGACAATATCAAGACTTATTATTCCCTATTATGATCTATTACAATGGTAAAACAATAATATATACCAACTAGAGCACTCGGAGAGCACAGACCTCCGCCAAGGCAGCTCAATTCTGTCACTGTGAAAAATTTAATTAATTAATTAAATAATTAATTGGATCCGGATGACGACCAAAATGTAATCAATTATAAGTTAACCGATTTCTGACGTATCCTAAAAATTTAATTAACTAATTAATTAATTAATTGGATCCGGATCATCACCAATATGTAATCAATTCTAAGTTACCTTATTTCTGACCTATCCTGAAAATGTTATTAATTAATCAATTAATTAATTAATTAATTGGATCCGGATCACCACAAAAATCTAATCAATTCTAAGTTAGCCCATTTCTGACCTATCCTGAAAAGTTTGGTGGGCATATGTTTCCATGACAAAGACTGATCGCGTGACGTCAGTGTACGTCACGCGCGAACCCGGCTATCTCCGATGTTGAATGCATGTACGCATACAGCCTGCTGATGGTGCTGGTGGTTGACAATCCGTCCATAACTTTTTCAGTAAGGCTGTACACAAACAAACCCACAAACCAACAAACGCACGCCAATAAAAACATAACCTCCTGCCAACCACTTAGCGGAGGTAATAACACATGAATTATTTGCTCTCGGCAATATAGACAATTTGGCGCCTCAACTGCTAACCCTTGAAATAACGTAATAAAAGAACACTAGTATCAATTTTAACGTCATGGTTATTATTCGTCAAAACTGCGTTTACTTGTGAAAATCTTTTTATTGGTAATTATTATAAACGTTAACAAGTAATCTAATTCAGAACGTGCAAACTAGTGATTATATGTGGAACTGTCACACAAAATCTTTAATTATTTGTAGCACTGAAACAGTGCGCACTGCCTAAGGAAACCGAATAACTATGTTACGAAGTAAATTTAATTTAACAATATTATACATATAAAATGTACTGGCTAAGACACATATATAAATACTGTAGTTCACTCTATTCACGTAAATTTACAACAGTGAATTAGTGCGTGTTCAAACGAAAATCAACGGAAGACAACACTTAGAGACAGCTCATTTAAACAATATGTTTACATTTAACGTACAAAATATTATCAAAATGAAAAAAAATTATCCATGTTATCATTAGTGAATGAACACAAAATAATTGTTTTTGTTCACTCCTGATTTTATACACACATCTTATAACATAACAAGAAAGGTACATTATGAGTTAAATCCTTTAGATTGTTTTTTGAAGAAGTAACCCCATTGTTTCAAATTCACAGCAACTATCAACACCAGTAGAGATCTGCTCATTTAATCAGTCATAATAATTCACTGCTGAAAATAGTTTCGTCATGGGCCAAAACTTGAAACCAACACACTGGACACCTGCAGACAAAGATACTGGCATACATCATATCATCAAGAGTGCATAATAGAGAAGAGTATGACACGGTTTTAACAGCGTTTTGCATAGTTTTCAACTGGTAAATAATCTATCAATATGTGAATAAATATATTCAAACTTTACCTTGTTTTCGTCTATGATTCTCCCTTAATCATATGACACCACCAATTTACCTGAAAATCGTATGTGTTCTTCAAAAAAGTTATTTGAATACGACACGGTTTCGTACAGTTTTCACGCATGAATGCATCTCTCCGACCGAACTTTCTTATGGGATTAGTATTCTATTGTCTATGACGGAACTTTGGGGGTCGTATGGGATATTAGGCATCGAATTGTATTCAGCGTGCAGCGTTTCCAGCGTGCTAAAAATAAATGCGCCTCACGGCCAGCTAGCTAGCAGCTGATTCCCTTACGGCCCCCAGCGTACCGTCATAGACAACAGAACACTAGTCCCATAAGAAAGTTCGGTCGGAGAGATGCATTCATGCGTGAAAACTGTACGAAACCGTGTCGTATTCAAATAACTTTTTTGAAGAACACATACGATTTTCAGGTAAATTGGTGGTGTCATATGATTAAGGGGGAATCATAGATGAAAACAAGGTAAAGTTTGAATATATTTATTCACATATTGATAGATTATTTACCAGTTGAAAACTATGCAAAACGCTGTTAAAACCGTGTCATACTCTTCTCTATTATGCACTCTTGATATCATCAATAACACCTTTTTTAACAATACAAATTTTTTAGCCACCTGCGGTAAATTGGCTAACCACAGCTCTTCGGCTATAACCTCAAAAGCTGTTCATTGCTCATTATTACAATGTAAGTGGCAACCGCCCCGGCCTCAAGCTGCATTCGTCTTGCCCTGCACAGCATCGGCTATGTTGTCCTTTGAGCTGATGATCTGATACAGGAAGAGTTCGCCCCCGCCAGGTCTCTTCCATACAGCAGCATCTAGCAGCACCTGCTCACCGTCCTCACCCCGCCAGGTCTCTTCCATACAGCAGCATCTAGCAGCACCTGCTCACCGTCCTCACTCTGCGCCTGCAGCCGCTCAAAGATCGAGTGCAGCATCGGTAGGAGACGTGCTTCATCGCTCATGAGATCCAGCGGAGCTACACCATTGAAGAAGTTAACCTGCGTGTGAAGAATAGGGTCAGATTGACACGGAGGCCCACGACTAGGATGACGACTGTGTTAGTTCATGGGATGCTATATAGAGCTGGTTAATGATGACAGAGACAAAAAAGCTGCAATAATATATGCTTTCATTCAGCATGAATAAACAAGTGTAAGAACTTGACGTTTTATGAGTGGCTAACTGTACGTGAAAGTGCAAGTGTTGACGTAATCACTGTAAAGGATGAATGTAAGCAGGATAAGTTAAATACGGTATATTGCCAATGCACAAAACTTCAGGGGTTTAATACTAAAGCATTTGGTAGTGTACCATATGTTACTGCCGTCAGTTTTAACAAAATTTGACTATTTAAGTGTTATTATAGACTAACAATAACAAGACACGAGATGAAGAACACAATCAGTACTTAAAGGAATAATATGTCCATTGATTATGCAATGTTGACGAATGCTAGAGTAACTGGCACCTTGTGTAGTACATTACCTTATAGCCAAAGGCGTATTAGTTTGTCCAATATCACTGCTGGTTACTAAGAAATGTCTAATTGAAATCCGCAGTCCAAGTAATCAGTTGACCGAGTTGTTTACAGTTTTAAACCGCTGCCGGCGAAGCTGGTGTGATACAGATTTATAGTGCACCGGACATTTTCGCACGCATGCTCGGCCGTACGCAATGCTATCATCAGTGATTTCGTCAAAACACGGACGCTCGTGATAAGGAACTTTTTGTCAGGGCTGTCCACGTGCATCCGTGATTAGTACGTGTGTTTTACTCCATTTCCATGTTTAGTCCGTGGCCATGGTTACACCGCTGACACCTCCATTTCATCTGGCGTCCAAAACATACGGGCCCCACAAATGTTTACGTCATCGTCGACTTATCGCTCGACTCCTGGATGACATTTACGGCACGTAAATGAATATCAACAACCGATTTCAAGTCTTGCTTGTAATGTACCAGCAGTGATATTGGACAAACTAATACGCGTTTGGCTATAAGGTAATGTACTTATTAACTACACAAGGTGCCAGTTACTCTAGCATTCGTCAACATTGCATAATCAATGGACATATTATTCCTTTAAATTTGTTAGTCGATATGCTCTGCCACCTGGTGTTAGGTGAATTCTCCTACTGACAATTCTAATTGGTAATAATGGAAGTGGCTATAATATCAGTGATTATTCTTAAATTATAAACGTTTTATTCACAAATTTAATAGCTTTTTTTGACAAATTCAATAAAAGTTAAGAACTTTAGCTAGGAATTACATTAAAGGTTACTTTATAAAAAAGAATTAAGACTAGAGGCCAAGAGTATAGAATGAATGAATCAAATTGTAAAAAAAATATCCTTTCATCTTTTTCGTTCTCTTTCATTCTATCATATCATTTGAATTCCTAGCTAAATTCTTAACCTTTATTGGTTTTTATTTCTAAAAATTATTGTCAAAATAAAATTTATAATTTACGGATAATCACTGACAGAGAAAATTGTATTACTAACAATTAGTTCCAGCAAGAATATGCACCTACCAAGAGGTGGCGCCACTGCATAATCAGTAACCAAAAAAACCAACAAATGGTTGTGTTTTGATAGTCTATATGATGTTAATGAATAAAAAGAGAAAGCAATCGGAAATTTATTCCAAAAAGTATGAAAATAGATAGAACATACCGCATCGTCGCTAAACAATAAAACATCCAATGTGCCAGTGTCATCCTGGAGTGTCAAGTAGAGACAGAACACAAATACCATCTCTGGAATCTTTCTAACTAGAGAATTGGAAAGCAAATAATGCAACTTACTGCCTAATCATTCATGATCTATCTACAGAACTTGACTGCAAAATATGAATGGCGATATTTTAAACATCACGACTAGCAGAACTATGAAAGTAGTAGATGGTTTCGAATACGTTAATGCAACGGAAAATATAAGCATAGCTATAAGCATTATTTTCAGCTCAACCTCATAACAATTATCCCACATGAAAACTTTCCTGGATCTGTAGAAACTGTTGGCTATAGCGACTATTAAGAGCTATTGGACTTACGGCTGTATCGCTGTGTCTGCTCCTGCATACACAATATGCATGCGGGGCATCGCCAGTACTCGCAGCAATCGGTAACACGAGATGGAGCCACTTGTTCCCACCATTCTTTACTGATAGCATAGAATAACAATATTTGTCATTAATGATAAATAAACATACTGATATGACTTAGTTAATAGCCTAAACTATCAAACAATATATATATAATTTGTTATATATATCTATATATATATATATACCAAACAAATTCAAATCCGAATAATGAAAAAAAAGGCAAACTAAAAGACACCAATGAGCATTTGAATTAGTTTGAATTTGTTTGATGGATCTATAAAATGTACAAAAAGACCCTACATGTTACAATGGCTTAATAATTGATTGGCATGCTCTCTTTAGTTATATAATCTCATAGAATTACCCAGAGTTATTTGGTTTGTTCCGTTCAACTCCAGTCTTCATATAGCGTGGCTGTGGAACGGCTTCCCTACCACAAGAAATAAAACCAGTTGATGTTATGACGCAGCATGGAATTCTGGTAATCTTACCCCTAAACCTACCCATAGTTCAGACACAAATTAATTATATCATAGTACGGATATATTTTCATTTGTACCATGCTACATACTGACAGGACTTTGCTTCTACATACATGTATTCACAGACGGGGCACACAAGGTTAATGATCTGGTATGCGTGTCTGGCATCCTTGACTGATGGCTTACAGTCAGTGACCTTGGCAGTGACCCTGTACACACCAGGCTCTGCTTCCAGTAGGTGGCTGATTCCACACTGCTGCAATCGGACCTGAATTTCTATCACCAAAAAGCAATGATATGAAGGCTTACACAGAGGGCTTCATATATATGCAACTACAATCATGGACTATATCTATGCATATACCTTTTACTGCTACCCATGGCCTCTCTGAAGATACACTGCAACAGTCATTGTTTATCTATTTAATTCTTTATCAAACTTTCTCAATCGACCTGCCAATGCCACATTGACTTGTGATGTTAAGCAGTGCATATCATCTTGGTTTGTGTACACTACACAATGAAAATGATTTATTTTTTATTTTGCCATGTATGACATGATCTTATGTAGCCTGCACTGTACGGACTGACCCAAATAACACGTTAATTAATAAATATGCTTTATATCGATAAATCTTACAAATAAATAAATAATATATATACAGTAATATATCACATTATGGAAGTAATGCCTTCTAGGGAAAGCGTTCATGACACGAAATTCCATAATGTAAATAAGAACTTAATAATGAACTTAAAAGCATTCCTGCGGAAATTTTGTTGGCCAATAGAAGTACATATAATCCCCCAGACTCCCCCAATACAAGCATAACCCCTACACATCACAATATCAAAGCAACACACACTTATTAATCATTTAATCACGTAATACAGGAAAAATTAATGAGCTCAGAATGAGAATTAGTACCCTGAACCTGGGGTAAATATACACTACGTGCAGGGCACTGAAGCTCATAAGGTCTATGTCCCCAGGGTACTGCCGGAACGTACCCTGGTACTATCTGATATGGTTAGGGTTAGGGTTAGAGTTAAGGTTAGGGTTAGGGTTAGGGAGTAGGCGTAGGCGACTCCCTAGACTCGTTAGTGGAGTAGGCGAGGTACGGTCCGGCATATTAGATAGTTACCAGGGTACGTTCCGGTATACCCTGGGGGACATAGACCCTCTCAGCGGCACTGTCTGTACACATTCTATTAAAAGAAGGAGCATGTAAGTGTGTCCTCCAAGGACGGAAAACAGTCTAACCGGTTAGTGGCATATTTGGAAAGAAAAATTCGTTGATTCTTTTAGAAAATAACGTAAGAGCGAATTTGCATTTGTGCATTGTGGGTTTGGTGATCATAATCTACAAGTTACGTACGGACAAATTTACATAACACATCGTATTACTGTAACAAATGTGGCATGGGTTTGGTGTCACAGATGACGATGTCTACAGAGCTGAACTGGCTTTACACTTACCAGGATCTAACACCAGCATGGACATGTTATCTGCATGACCATCCAATGCGGGCCACCGCCCCTTTAATAAACTGCCCGGCCTGTCTTGTGAATCCACCTGCTTTGAATTAGACGTGTATTTCGTAGTCGTATAACGATGGAGGAATAATTTCACGGGAGACACAAGTCCAATTCCTCCCAGCCGCTCGTTGGTGTTTTCCCCCAGCTCCCTCGTCGAGTTAGTACAAGATTCAGGAAGGTCTTGCTCGCTACTGGAGGTGCTGGCTTGTGACTCTTCTGCCAGTTTTGCAGACTGGCTTTTCTTTTCCTTTTGTACCATCTGTGAAGACTTGAAGAGCAACTCTCTCTTCGCATCGAGCCGTCTTGATGTTCTCACATGAGATACAGGTACGCTTGTTTCTAGCAGAGTGCCCCCGGCTTGTGACTGCCCACTCTTCTTACTACTAGGAGAGCCAGCAATATGCGGTAGTTTACTGGAAGTGCAGGCCTGCAACGTTACCTGCACCTCCATAGACCTACCTTGATCTTCTTCTTGTGCTACCTGTGGAGACTTGGATAGCATGTCCCTCTTAGCACTGAGCCGTGCAGATGTTCTTACAGGGGTTCGAAGAATCTTTGATCCTAGTGGTACACCACTGGTTTCTGGGTGTTCAGTCTTCTCACTGTTAGGAGAGCCAGCAATCTGCTCTGGTCTACTAAATCTGGTCTGGTCTAGAGATTTTCTCATGGCAGATGCAAGTTCTTCAGTGCTGCTCTCTGACTGTTTACTCTTCTTTCTATTAGGCGAGGCAGCAACGTTCTGCGTCGCGTGGGAATCGCTGGCTTGTGACGGCAATGAACGCTTCCGAGATCTTAGCACGTAGGGGACATTTAAAGTCTCCATATTGCTATGAATCTGTGCATCTTTTCCAGCGCCATGGTGTGTTGTCTCAGATATTTCGATGGCACAGTCGATAAGCTCTCCCACATGTTTGGAGAGCCCATGCATCTCGGGATCAGCACTTGCATTTGCCTGGCGCCCTTCAACATCGGTGATACAGATCGCAGGTTGCAGCATGTCATTGCCACTGGGTGTCGCTGTCTGTGCCACGAGTGAATTCCCAGCAGAGTGATGTGAGGGCGGGATCGAGGTAGATGGGAGCATGCGACGGAGAGGCGAACGCTCGTGCGTAACACTGGTCACTTGACCGCAGGTCACATTAGGCAGCTGGCTGTAGATCGATTTTCCATCAACCGTCGGTGCGGAGCCGTCGGACGTTGCATTCATTGCAGCACTGCTCAGCAGCTGAGTTGTAGAGCCTGGCACTTCACAACTACCAGCAGATGGCGCCGTTGATGGTATAGCATCAGCCAATGACCTGGAAGCAATGGCTAGTGAGTAAGTGTAACTGTCGGGTTATTATGATTGTCACATCTTAAATTGCTTCAACAGCCATTAAAACGTTTGTTTTTTCAAAAAATAAGTGTAGGTGGGTATTACTATACGACATTATAGTTCACTACTGTACAATTCAGTGGAAATTAGGTTTTTAGTGTCTTATCGGCTTTAAGCCAGTATGATACTAGATGAGTTTTTAGTTAAAATGCTTGTTTGACTCGACTTCTGCTTTCCAAATGGCCAATCACTAAAGCAATGAATCATGCGCAAGGACAACTAAACCATGATGCCACGCATGTGCACCACTGTTCACCAGCAGTGAACAGTGGTGCACATTAATATGCATAGATGCGTACGATTTCAGTTTCTAAGAGTTCGAGAAGTTGAACACCGTTTCATACACTTGCATGCTGGCTGACTTTGTGGCAAAGCTCGTGTGTGTACATCCCAGCATTGTGTAACAAGGAACTACGCATAGGTAAACATGATCATCTCACCTTTGTAATGATTCTGATGTCCAATTTCCCTCAGCCACTGCTAGCAACTCTCTTGCAGTAATGCTACCCTCACACGAGAGATCCATCATTAGAGGACTCCTCTCTGAGACGTCGGCAGCCTCAGCACAAACACCACCCGTAATCTGTATACGTTGTCCAACCTACAGCAATGCAATGTGCAATCAAACATGTACGGGTATTGCAGTGTGGTTACTATTACAGCTGACAATGATAATGAAAAAAAAATTAAACTTAATTCGTTCATCTCGTCAAATGAACACATCAATAAAGAAAAAAAAACCAAAGCAAACCATATAATTTCTAAGAATATAATAGCATGTTATATTTAATATTTCCCAAAAACAGATGATTCCAAAAACTGCACTGATGTTCCCCGTTGGCAACAGCATCATGAACCCACCTTTAGTTGCTGAACCTTGGCTGTGTCACAGGGCATAAGATGGAGAGTAATAGGTGGATCCCCACATACATCCCTGAATGGTGGATGAGTCACCCCCACGTCTGACACCTCATCAATCCGCCTCACACGATCACTGCTGCAGCAAGTCAACAATAACAATTAAATCAGAAAAGCATTTAGCTAACAGATTACAATATTTGTGGGCAAATGTCAATGTTGGTACACAGGGACATTTGGATAGTAAGTATACTAGGTAGGTATCAAAGTTATGGGCTTACCTGCTTCCTGTGATTCTTGTGTATCCCATGTCTTTTTCTGGAATCTCACAAACGGAAGTTACCTAAATTTGTAGAAGTAGATAAAATAATCTAGGTTTATATATATATATATATATATATATATATACACAGCCAAGGTGGCACGGTGGCAAGGTGGTGCATACACGCGCGTGTGTGCGTGCACATGTTTGAGAGACAGAGTGCCGGAGAAAGCAACAGTAAATGTGTTTTGGCTATCCAGCTTAATGAAAGACCTACTGAAAATTATTTTCCATGCATTTATGAAGCCAACATATCTCACCTGACAGGTGACAAGCAAAGACCTGGAGGGCGTTGCTGCAGCAGATTTGTCTCCATGTTCAGCCTGATGAGTAGATGACATTTCACGCTCAACTCTAGCTTCTGCATTGAATGATTCTTGCAAAGGTCCACAAGGATGCGATGCAATAACAGGTTCTAACTCATCATGGAGATTCATCAAGCTTATATTCCTATATGAGTAAAAAAAAAAACATTTTATGGTCTAAATTCTACTTACACCTCAGAAACTGCAAAGAAGCAGACACAATTGGAAACTTTGTAAGATGCAAAGTTTCTGATTAAATACTTACAGTGACTGAACTTCCTGTGAAATTCTGGCTAGAGGGACCATCTCCCTGTCTATCGTGGATCCACAAGCCATCAAAAGATGCACAACAGTAAATCCACTAGCAATATCTTGATGAACCTCGGGAGCCCTCAAGCAGTGCAGATTTCTAAGCCAAACATGATCTCCTACCTAACAGCACAATGTAGAACAGTGGATGTATAGTGACTTTATACAATCATTATATGAGACAACACCATAATTATATACAATATATCATATAAATTCTTTAATAGGTAACAAAAATGCAAATAACCATATATACTAGACCAATTTAATATTACAAATGAATGCAATCGTGGCAACAATGGCTTTCTGCACTAGACTACAATTTCATATTATAGCTGCATGCAATCAAGGAGAGAGACGGCATCTTTGCCGTGGCGAAGTCATCCAAATTATCTTTTGACTGTACTATGGGCTCCTACTCTATAAACGTAAGATCCATTTACCCTACCTGGAGCTTTGATGCAATTGCTGCCTGACTCCCAGTCACACAGACAGGTAAGGCAACCTGTAGAGATTCACAGGTCAGTCTTGCTTGCTCCTCAGCACTTCTTCTCACTCTTAGTGATCTGATCAACAAAGGAGGATAGGTATTTTGTAAGTGCAATGCGGAGAAAGCACAGAATGAACATCGAGAAATCACAAAATGGCATTAGACAATAAAGTTGTTACATGCACACAGCTGTACGCATATCTGATGCTTGGTCATATTATTGAACAAAATTACCATGCATCGATTGTTACACACGTTTGCAAATAGAATGTGACATTCTATTCATTTTTGCAACATAATCTTACAAGCGACATTAAATTAAAAATCCATACCTGTTTAGTGCAGTACCATCCCATACATTAAGCATGGTCAGTGTATCAGGATGTACTGCATTTACTGTTACAATCTGAAATGTGTATTATATCTCATAACTTAATCAGCATCACATAACAAATCAACAATAGATAGCATAAACTAATACATGAAATATTTCCAGGTGTTTATAATATATTTACGTGAATTTATTCATAGGTATAGTGAAGGTAAAGTTCTTACTTTAAATTGAGCAATTTAGCTATGAAATTCTACACGAAGGGAAACGACGACCAAATGGAATAGTAATAGATTACCTGGCAATAAACATCACTGTAGGAATTTAGCTTTATGTCCGAGATGAGAGACTTTTTGGTTGTCACAGAAGAAAATGACTTGGTTGACTTAAATAACTCTCTGTAGTGTCTCAGACGCTTTCTGTCCAACTCAATGAAACTATAAAGTGAAACAATATGAACATCTTTATTATGAATCCCACAACTGACTTGTCACCACATATCTGCAGAAGCGAGTTCAAAACACTTGCCAACGCTCCTAATTCCATGTCAGTGATGCTATATCTATGTGGATTGTGTGAAAGCATATAGACACAGATGGGAACAGCAATTGCTACACTGGTTGTTACCTGTACAAAAGATCTGCACTGCCTGTCCTTGGTTGCTCACTACTGGCTGGATCTTCGTCAAACACCAGAGCCACCGTAGCAGCAGTTGACCCCAACTGCAGTTTGCCATTGAACAAGTTCACCTGCAAACAGATACATGGTTGTTCTTTGTGATGTTAAAGATCTCAGAGATGCAGTGGTCATACTTTTTAGATTTGCCATTATATATCAGTAATATTTCATCTCTATCTGTTCTACATGTGATGTGGAATTTCTCTATACAGGTAGAGGCACATGCACCCCCTTTTCATTTTATGGAATGGTTTTAGATATGTATGAATTATTAATTGAACTTATTTGTGGAAACTTTGTATCAGCTGGCTGGACAAAGATTGCTTGAACTGCAACCAAGTTAGTTGAAAGCCAAGATGACACGATCTCGTTGGATTTTAAGAAGCAACCACAATATTCTGACGCACTCTATGTGTGAAATGTAGTTCTTCTCTTATCATGATGATTTGAATATACTAGGTGACGACAGTGCTGACGAGTGCAAACAACTGCAGCACTACTTATGGGAACAAAGGCTCAGGTTATAGCCTGAGGACAACTGTGAACAGGCTCCAACTAAACCTTGGTTTGAGGTTACATCGCAGGGGTGGCAAACTACGGCACTCAATCTTTGTTACTTTTGCGTGTAGCAGAAGCATGATGTCTCCAATGCGGTTGATCTGTGGCAGCAGCTGCTTCAAGGGAGCGAACATGTGGCAGTGTACTGCGTCTCCATCCTCTTCACCCGTGGAACGATCCACCAGTCCAAAGTGCAACAGCCAATCTGGAAGACGTGAAATTCTAAATGTAGAGGATCAGTGTTCTCATCTGGCAAAATGCACATAAGAGGCAGAAACTGAGAAAAGAAATCAATATTCCTGAGAAACGTCTATTGTCTAGGAATTGGAGGACAAATCGAGATAAATATCCAACTAATATAAGATACTGTACTATCAATTTACCTGATCCCCTTGTTCTTCTTGGCTCATTTAGGAACTTGACAATTCCCCACACACTAGCTATCGAACCAACTGCCAGATCTTTGATCAAGGTGGTGTTGTTGCATCGTTTCTGAAATATATACATATATCTTTTCGGTAAGGAGATAACCATTATTTAACTGACTGGTCCTATACTTTATCAGATATGACATGCTTTCTGCTGTTACTGCTGCTACTACTACATAAAAAAATCACTATATTTGTGAAAGAGGGTTGTGTGTGTTGGTTTCTGATAGGTTTACACACTTTAAACACCTAGAGTTTAACAAGACATCAACTATAAATTGAGTTTAGAGAGTGATAGTTACACATCTTAATACATATACACATATCAAATTACATATAGTGTCAACGAAGTCTCTGCATATAATTTACATAACAAAGTAGGCAGCCAGTTCCGAACTCAAGTTCTCAGTTAAAAATACCAAATTTCTATTTAAAAACACACGAGGCTATAAAGAACAGAGAACCATAATTAATAAGGATATGCACCTTTTCAGACATGACACCAGCTGTAACATCCATCACTGGTGGTGAACCAATTAACCATATTGGATTGCTTGACTGCTCTGTAATGGTACTGACTCTACTACTAACAGATGACTCTCTCAATGCAGACTCCACTCTATTAGGCATTACTTCGCTCAAGTCTCTATTAACCTCCAAACTGTCACTTAAGTCTCTAATAGCCATCACGTTGTCGCTCAAGTCTTTACTGTCTTCCCAGAAGCTGCTTTTCAAGATATCTGGAGTTACAGTACCAACTGTTTGATTAGTATTAGTGCCTTCTTGCTGAGAGATAGAAATCTCCCCACTAGGTACACTATTTCGTTCTCCCAAATTCTGAGATATCGGCAACGTGGCCAAAATCTTTTGTATGGCAGTGGAACCTCTTATTTTATTACGTTCATCATCTTCCTTGGCTGGCTTTGTGAAAACAGTACCTCCAGTTTGTTCATGCCCTTTACTCTTGCTCTGGCCTATTGAGCTGAAATCTAACTTTCGCTTCTGGAATCTACCACCCGTACAGCTTGCCCCACTGGCTATTGTTGTGTTAGAATTGTTTGCACTGGTACTCTCTTGAGGTGTTGATGCTTCCATTGGGGTGGGAGTCTCCATAACTTTCAAATCCATGGTAGCTGCATTGCCTGTGAGCCATTTGTGGCGTGTGTCCACCTGTAATTGATAACATAGGCAGTTAAGAAGAACACTGGCACCCTTCACTCGCATGCTCATTAATTTCAACATATTATTTAATCAGTTAAACATCACAATCAATATCCCTGCACAATATTAATGCAAATGCTTTGCAATAGAAAAATTTTCAGGGCTGCTAATTGCAAATACATGCTGGAAGTCTCAACATATAACTATGGCGTTATTTTCTCAAACAGGCATATATATGTGCTTTACTGACTTACAAAGAAGTAGCAATCCGGACGTGGTCGTGAGCTGACTGCGGGAACAAAGTCCAATTTCCATTGATTAACACCCATGTCCTGATGATGCTCGCATTGTCTTGTCATTGCATGGCATACAACAACGGTGTCCTAGATTAACACAAACAGTTCTCAAAATAACTGGTAACTCGGTCATCCAAAACAATTTTATATTTATTAAAAGTAAAAAGAGTTGAAAAACATTACGAGTTCGTCTGTTACAGTAAAAATCGGCCGCTGTTTGACAGTAGTTGTCTGCAGTTTACTCGAGCTGTACCAAATCATGACTGCATTTAGCAAAAATATTTAACATAGTCCCTACATAAATGCTAATACTATTTACGTATTTATAAATGTAATGGTAGGCAAAAGATTTCAGTTATTTTTGTTTGATGGTCAATGACATTAACCTTTTTATGATTGGGTTGTTACCAATACAATTAGTTGTGATTCCTCATTGTGAGCATTGACAATGATGAAATGTTTTTGACGCTTTACTTACTCATATCGTATAACTATTGGTTTATGACTGATAAAGTAAATCAACACTTAAGCAGTAACCATTAACCAACTCACCCAGAGCTGTGTGACCCGGTCAACCCACACAGCCACGTTTCCACTGAAATCAATCAACACTACCATGTCTTTTGGAACCTTTCCTCGGCTTCCCCTAGCTGTCTGCGGACTTTGCTGCTTCTGCGTTTTACACACTTTATCTACACGGAAAAATACAAAATCATCGCTAGCTCTACCACCGATCTTAGCTTATCATACAAGGCTAGTAAGGTCTACCAAAGATATAAGTGTTATGTTACTTACTAGCTGTATGATGTAACACAGAACAAGACTGGTAAAATTGATAGGACATTACGTGAACAAGTCTATAGTAAGCTGAAGGACAACATACCATCTGTAATTTTTAAGCTGATCCGGTTTTCGCCAACAGAAGAAGTCAAAGAACCTTTCCAAGAAATTTTTCCCTGTAATAAAAGCGTATCATCACTTGTCTAACTCTAGATACAGGTTCCAACTCAGGATAAGAGGCACCTTTCAGTTGGCTCTGTTATTTGGATTTGGAAGCTGTTGCACTAAATCTTAATCTATGACTCCAACAAGCACTATTAAATTAGTGTGTGTTAATGTCTTATCAAACTGTATTCGGTTTTAATTGGATATTCCTACCTTCTCCGTACTACAACACATTGTAATACACACATACACATGCATGCATGCATGCACGCACGCACGCACGCACGCATGCTCTCTCTCTCTCTCTGATACACACACACACGCGCACACTTTCTTTCTCACTTACTGTAATTGGGTTTTGATTGGATATATCCTCAACTCCATAGACATTTAGCAATTGTGTTACGCATCATTCTTGTTTACTAATGGCGTTGGCGTTAGTAATGGCAGGAGAGGCATCACAAGAAATGTAAAATGAGCAATTTTGTAGCTCATCTGGCACAGTCAGATGCAGCTTGTAGAATTTGGAAAAATGTCCGTCTGTCTGTCAACAACATTGGCACAATTCTGAATAGCCATCAATGTACGATCTTGAAATTTTATACATGAGGGCGGGGGGTCGGAAATGACATTGGGATGGCACAATGAATGACTCTTCGCAAGAGTGGAAAGTATATGTAATGGTCCTTTCAATTAAGTCATGAAAATTGTAGGTCCCCACTGGAGCAAGTTTTTGTCACTCGGTCATCTAGACCATATCTCTCAAAACGTTTTAAATCTGTCCTTTGATCCACTGCCCTTTGACCTGTGACCTCCAATTTTGCCAGTATGATTGTTTCTATTACCCTGACTATATACCAAATATCAAATGTATAGGTCAAGATGTTTACATGTGTGCCGCAATTCTGCATCTTTACAATGCCCGTCCCATACCACAAGTTAAGGGAAGAGTATTCTTCCTCCTGTCACAACTTGTGACATTTGATCATTGACCCCAGGTTGAACTTTCCAATGGTATTTTATATTGACATCCTACATCTCAAGATTCAACACTGTATGTCGATGCATTTAGATTTGGACACATATTACTGACAGATGCTCATGCCCCTCTCCAACCTCCATCTGACTGTGCCAAGTAAGCTAAAACAATGCTAACTAATGACATGGTGCTACAGCGACATTTTAGTCTGCAGCACGTACAAACTGGGTTCGTTTCACTGACCTAGCAACAGTATTGAAGGGGGTACGAGTACCTCCCTCAGGCAGATACGCCAATTACAATTAGGCTTGGTGATACTCCTTTTTAGTTATTTTTTATGAACTGCTAACTGCTAACACTATAATATCAATGGTGAAAAATAGTACATTAATTTCCTCTATATAGGGAAGAAGAAATAGTGTTAATTCTGCTTAAGTCGAAACAGACTGGAATCTAGTCAACCCAAGGCTGCAAGATAGGTCTCAAAAACTACAATGTCAGTTTTGAAATCATTCTCACTGATCTCAACTGGCCCATGCAGTTTTCGTGCACGTTTTCACTATACTATTATAAAATATATTATATAACGTTAAAATTGCATTGGTATCGCATCTTGCTGATGAAATCACCTCGGCGTATTCGGTGTCGCTAAGCCATTTGAATTATCGATCTACTAATCTGATCGATGTGGTACTCCATCTTCATTATATTACTGTTACTGACTGGTAGTGTTAGTGTTACTGTGTTAGTCATTACTCTGCTGTTACTACTGTTGTTACTGTGCCTCCTAGCCACAAGTTCCCATCTCGCTTAACTGTTAACACTACGTGGCGAGAGGGGTCCTTACGTCCTTAGAGGTCCCTACGTCCTCCGTCGTGTAACAGTCGGAGAGCCTGGTCGGTTTACTGTGCCTCCCTACTAGTTGTCACTGTGTTAGTGTTACTCTGTTAGTGTTACCCTGTTAGTGTTAGTGTTACTCTGTTACTGTTACTGTTAGTGTTGCTGAGAGGGTCTATGTCCTCCAGGGTACTGCCGGAACGTACCCTGGGTACGGTCCGGTAAACCGGAACGTACCCTGGTACCAGAGCATATAAATCAACGTGATTTATATGCTCTGCTGGTAGTATACTATCTAATATGCCGGACCGTACCTCGCCTACTCCACTAACGAGTCTAGGGAGTCGCCTACGCCTACTCCCTAACCATATCAGATAGTAACCAGGGTACGTTCCGGTATACTGGACCGTACCCAGGGTACGTTCCGGCAGTACCCTGGGGGACATAGACCCTATGAGTATGAGTGTTAGTGTTAGGGTACCATGTCAGTGTTAGGGTACCATGTCAGTGTTAGTGTTACCCTGTGTTACTGTTAGTGTTAACCTGTGTTCTGTTAGTGTTACCCTGTGTTACTGTTAGTGTTACCCTGTGTTCTGTTAGTGTTACCCTGTGTTACTGTTAGTGTTACCCTGTGTTCTGTTAGTGTTACCCTGTGTTACTGTTGGAAGTGACCCTGTGTTCTGTTAGTGTTACCCTGTGTTACTGTTAGTGTTACCCTGTGTTCTGTTAGTGTTACCCTGTGTT